TTGCGTACGGATGACAGCTGCGTATGAATTAATTTACTTTCTGGTGCTTTTCACTTCCAGAGACAGCTGTAAGCACTGTGTAGCTGCCTGGAGGGTGCTTGACCATTTTAACACAACGTGGTGCGATCATCCCCCTTGCGCGGAGTGAGGGTTCACCCCGCACAACATGATCTACTCAACCATCATTATGGTTACCGCCCAAAAAAAATAAACGGAGGAAAAAAAAAAAAACGGTAACCTGGTTGCCGAGTTCACGAAGTGAATTGGCTTGTTTTACAACGTCGTTGCCAAGCGACGAAAACCCAACCCCGATGGTTAACACCGGGGGGGTGGGGGGGTTGATAAAAAGGTTGATATGGTGTAGCTTGTTTAAATGGTGTGTGTCTCGTACGGAGTTGGTATTATTTGAGCATAGTAGTAAGTTATCACATGAGGATATTCCTTGTCGGACACCGACGAAGGTTGTCAATATATGTGTAAGAGCACAAGCAAATTAACTAGCTAAGTTAGTGCTATCATGATATCACCCTGGTGGGTCAGACCTCGAGAAGTGATTAGCCTTGTGGGGGCAAACCACCAAACTTGATCGACGTGTACTAACGTAGCCTTTTTGATTCCTGGTGCCAGGAAAAATATCGTCCCCAGACAGCGAGCCACCCGAAGGTAGCGCATCACCCAAGTCAGTTCAGCACCGCTAGCATGCCACCGGTTTTCAGGGGCATCTGGGCTACCTCGCGGGGCCGACTCAAGATGTTCTTTTTTTTTATTTTTCTTAATATGACACAACGAGTCCATCTCTATCATAGAAAAGAGTCAGAGACAGATTAACAATGGAATCATAGCGTCAGAGAAAACTACCTGTGTGTCTACGATTTCCCAGACAGCATATAGGGACATCTCCCCTGTGGGTAACAGGCTCAACAAATCAGTTTGGTAGCTGTCTTGTGTGTCTCATATATGTTATGTTGTGGAATTTCATGTCGTTAAATGTGAGAAGGGCACGGGAGAACATTTCTCATCATTGCCTCCTGATGACGTGGTCGCCGATAGAGGCGTGTGGTTGATGAGGTTTCATCACCGACGTGTGGGTGTGTGTAAAGTGCAGCGGGGATGTTCACCTCTCTCGTCCGTGTGTAGGCAGGAGGTATGGCTACCTCTCCCATTTGTAGGCAGCGCGGACCATAAGCATAGACAGAGTTTATTGTTTCATGCATGCTACATCATTTATTTGTGTTTGACAAGGAAGGAATGAGAGGTTGTGCGTATGTATGGGTACGGGGGTACTCCCTGTGTCCGTGTTGTTCCCGGATGTTGTCGCATCAAGTGGCAGCATGTGTCATGGACAAGTAGACGAGGAAGGACGGCGACAGATGAACGGCAGCAGTAGTATGTTGTGCATGGTGGCATTATGGGCATGTACAGAGACGCAGTCCATCTTCGACTACACACAAACGAGTTTGTTCGTACCTGTGGGGATTTTTCGAAGTCCTGGGTCAGCCAAGAGCAGCAACAAGGAGCAGACGTAGTGCAGTATACTCTACAGCTTTTACAGTCCGTCCTCCTCAAGTCCTATCGGAGATGATTAGTATCGCACAACGGCTGGATCCGAAATGCCGGCTAGCTCCGCAATCCAAGAGAGGTGGGTGGCTGAGCTTAAACCGGAATGACTGCATGCATGCGTGCTCCTCTCAGCCATGTCGCTNTCGTACCTGTGGGGATTTTTCGAAGTCCTGGGTCAGCCAAGAGCAGCAACAAGGAGCAGACGTAGTGCAGTATACTCTACAGCTTTTACAGTCCGTCCTCCTCAAGTCCTATCGGAGATGATTAGTATCGCACAACGGCTGGATCCGAAATGCCGGCTAGCTCCGCAATCCAAGAGAGGTGGGTGGCTGAGCTTAAACCGGAATGACTGCATGCATGCGTGCTCCTCTCAGCCATGTCGCTGGCTGGCTCTTTGAAGTGCAGATTTCTGGTTCAGCAGAATTTGATTCCCAATCAATTTTTCGTTGCCACCTGGGTGTATGGGAATTTTTATGAAAGAAAGGTGTACAGAAATTGATTATCCTAATTGCAAGGGACACGTTTCATTTTCAGTGTTCCTCCTTGCGGTTTCGACGGTCAAATATGTGGTTACCCACAGATTTTCGCATCGCTACAAGCTATACCCTCTCCTTGCTAAAAGTGTGTGTTCTTTAGATCTTCTGATGGCTCTTCTAGCATATTTGTGACCACGGACCGAGTCTTCGCTAGATTTTGGGATTAGCAACTAACACGAGTTTAAAGTGAAGAAAACAACAACAACAAGCTATCAGACTCCTACTAGAATGTATGTGTGTACAGTTTTGGTAGCGCTAGAAGCAATTTGAACATGATTTTTATGTCATTAATTACATACATACAGGCGTTATTTTTCACATAGAACAACATATTCGCCTGATTGAGAGCGAAGTATCTGATTGAGAGCNAGCGCTAGAAGCAATTTGAACATGATTTTTATGTCATTAATTACATACATACAGGCGTTATTTTTCACATAGAACAACATATTCGCCTGATTGAGAGCGAAGTATCTGATTGAGAGCGA